CCGTGTATCGATAATTCAGTATGGCTCGTGCAAGTCTTTAGAAGTAGGTATATCACGCTGTATATCATAAATAGGAATTCCACTTCTTACATTGTCACTGATAATCAATTTATAAACTGCACCATGTGTTATTTGTAAAGAGGTAGGACACATAAGGCCATGATTTGACAGCGTATTTTATAGGCCGTTAAGTGTCCTTTTCTACCATACGTCTTTTTAAAATTACACACGTGTACTGTAAGGCACTGCGGGTTATCTAAGTCTGTAGGTAACCGATCAATGCGGAATGTCTTTCACCATAGATTTACGCTAGTGGACAATAAAGTATTGAGTCTTATATTATGGTCGTCTTGTTTAAGAAAGCCTACACTATTACTGAATCTTAAAGAATACGGAGCTGCGAGAACAGACAACAATAGATTCAAACACTGGAACGTTATGTCATAAACTGACCGAAATAATCACTGTTTGCTACAGATGTAGCCCATTGCCCTATATCATCCACACGGAGAAAACTTAAAACCTGCGCTTCACTGAAAGCAAAGCACTTTTACTGGTCAAAATGCGGGAGCGAAGCCTGACAAATTCCGATCTTTAAAAAAAGGCTAATTACCGGTTGTATGGAAAATGGGTTCTGATGAAGTGTATAATGCTTCATGATGACAGGTTGGTTTGTTTTTGATTTATTTAAAAGAGCTACTGGTCGCTGAAATCGGTAAGACTTTTTTTTCGAAGTATGTCTGTTTGTTGAAGTTCGATTACTTCAATATAACTTGACAATATTCCTTTTTTATCGTTAAGGACATATGCTACTTTGCATACTGTTCCGCAATATTTGCTACCTGAAGAGAATTTTTAGATCCTTTCTGCAAAGCATTATCGGCTTGAGTTTTGATTCAGTGAGGCAACTTTAACACTTAATATTGGTGATTGTTAGGCGAAGTTTTGATATATATCTCAACGGCTTAATGCAGGTGTAATAATATGTGACTTGTAAATGACTGCTCCCTCGCCACAATTAATGTAGCAATAACTGATCCCTGATCCGGGCTCTTGAGCAGCATGCCAGACTCCTCTGTATCAAGAACGCTTCGTGTTGAGTTTGATCTTAATCTGTTGGCATTCATAAGCTCATAAATGACAAATGAATGCAGTTCAATGGTTTTAATTATATTTGTCTATATTTGTTTTTATAATAGAAGAAGGAATGCGGGGTTTGATTCCCGAAATGGAAGTGAAAAGGTAGCAGGTCACCTGTCAAACCACTTGAGCTTTCCACGTGTACTCCGACAATAAGACCCCTTGCCCTTTCATCAGGGCGAACAAGAGTGTTTCGCAACTGATGTAAGATAAACGAATTATCTTAATAAAGAAAAAGGACCTTAATCTGTTTACACTTCTAGCAAAAATTCCTACGCCGATAACAGTTCATGAGTTGGTAATACACAACTGACTTTAGTAATGTTACATCGAAGGGATGTCACTCAATCAATGGTTGTTATAACTTAAAAAGTTAACTGCATCACACAGATTTTCGTCCTCGTTAGATTCATTAGTGATGCTAAGGGACTTAATTTTGAAGACGTCTTGTCAGCATGTTTTCCTCTGTCCAAGAAGAAATAGCAATAATTCTGGTTAATAACGACCTTGGGTTAACTTTTTACCATAACAAAGTAACATGTATGCCCTTGGTAACAAATTTACCATCAATATTGATCGAAAGGTTTCATTATAACATGAAAATTGACGAAACAAAAATTCCACACAGCTGTAACAAAATCGCAGGGACAAAAGAAATCTCAAGTTTATTAATAAAATACAACCGTATAAATGACCAGGGTCTTCCGCACGCGCGATGGTCAAATTTGTTAAAAAAGACTCCTTTCCATAATAAATACCTGTCTTTAAAGACCACTGGTTTCGTAACTTTAATGTTTCACAACTCGTAGTAATTGAACCTATCCATAAAGACCACTAGTCTATAATGTACCTGATGTAATATAATTCAATTGGTCCTCTATATAAAGGCCATCGGTATATAACAAATACCTGTCTATAACGATCACTTGTCGCGAGACCCTATGTAATTCATTGTAATTAAACATCTACATAAAGACCACTTTCTAATACAGACCTTAACAGGCAGGTTGTTTGATTCTTTAACTACAAGGCATGTTAATGTCTCCCTATACGTGACAAATAGTGACAGCTATCATCCTTTTTTTACGTCAAAATAATGTTTCACATAGATTTTCTGCATCAATAATTAAGATAAAAAACATGGCTTCATGTTATAAATTTGCTTACTGATTTAGAAAAAATATCCTGCAGACGTTTGACCTTACTTAAGAGACTTCTTATCAAACTGTGTCTGTTTACGTGTAATGTGTGGGCCGAGTGATGCTAGGTATAATGTACATTAGAGCTGACGTCATAGAGCAGCGTGATATATATCAAGTGATTTTAAGGAAATTCATGACTCTCCGAATTATCAATATCAATTATAGGGATGGAACGAACCCATGTGTCAAAGTAACAAGCACTCTCCAAATTAATTGACATCTTTATAAACGTGCTTATGTTGCTTTGGCTGGGCGAGTCTGATTAAAGTTAGTTGTACCCACGAGAAATACGAGACTATATTTTTAAAAGCACTCATTACAGTTTCCATGCTAAAAGGTAAGCACATTTTGTTTTTTAAATAAAAATATGTTTACGCGCACGAACGATTTTTTCCTACAAAAATTGCCATTAAAGGAAATGCGACACACTCAGATGAACATCACAATTTGTCTTAAGTATAGGTTCAATGAACTCCAGTCTCACCAATAAACACTGCACGATATGAACTGCATACAAAGCATCCCTTGGGGTAACGTTTACGACTTCATTGCTCAAAGTCAAACAAAGTATAAAGAATCCTGTTGCTGAGGGTTAAAAGTGGCCATAATGGTAATGGCTAATGAATAATATGTACAAGCCTCCCCGTGGACGTTCAACAAATGATCTCCCTTTGGACGTCGAAAAAAATGTTTTTCCGTGATAGATATGTCATAAATTTCTGACATAGGCGTCATAAACGATATAACCGTACTGGAGGGCGCAATAATGTTCACGGATAAAAATAACGACTGGTGCATTTTCATTTTTCTATTGGGAATACCCGACTTTTGAGTGGCGTGATTACTAGATTTTAGTGTTAATCGATGCATTTGTTTACATTTTTGAATGATGTAAATCCATCAATATAGCAATGTGCATCGAGTTCACAAACAATATACATCAGGTCAAGTTGATGACAAGCATATCTCACTCATTCTCGTTTCATAAATAATCTTAACCCGTCTCATTCAATTGTTTTTACTTGTCTCATACAATACATTTTACCTGTCTCATACAATAGTCTTTACCTGTTTCCTACAATTGACTTTACCTGTCTCATAAAATTGTCTTTACCTGTCTCAGAAAAAAGTCTTTACATATTCATAAAATTGTCTTTACCTGTCTCATACAATACTCTTTACCTGTCTCAGACAATTGTCTTTTCCTGTCTCATACAAAAGTCTTTACCTGTCTCATACAACAGTCTTTACTTGTCTTATACAATTGTCTTTTCTTGTCTCATACAATTGTTGTTTCTTGTCTCATACAATTGTCTTTACCTGTCTCATACAATATTCTTTACCTGTCTCATACAATATTCTTTACTTGTCTCATACAACAGTCTTTACTTGTATTATACAATTGTCTTTACATGTGTCATAACGCAGTCTTTACCTGTCTTGTGCAATAGTCTTTACCTTTTCACACAATTGTTTTTACATGTCTCATACAATACTCTTTACTTGTCTCATACAATTGTCTTTACCTGTCTCATACAATTGTCTTTTCTTGTCTCAAAAATACTCTTCACCTGTCTCATACAATACTCTTTACTTGTCTCATACATTTATCTTTACTTGTCTCATACAATACCCTTTACCTGTCTCATACAATACTCTTTACTTGTCTCATACATTTATCTTTACTTGTCTCATACAATACCCTTTACCTGTCTCATACAGAAATTCCTATCCTTCACGTTAATGATACGAGGTTTATCAACTGTTTTCATGGATGAAACCATTCACACTTAAACTCACCGGCAGCACTTATTTACCTACAGCACGTACCTGTAATCCTTACACACAAAACACTCCTGATACTACTTCCATCCTATTTAGATTGCTCCTGAACCATAACATGAATTTCATTATAAAAACCAAATTGAATTTCGGCATTAAATAAAACAACAATGTGATCCACTATAGAACGCATTACAAAACTTAAATAAACATGGGTAGATATAGTTTGACTATCACATTCGGACTCTCGAATTATATTTTCACTTCCCGTCATGACTGTTAAACGTTAATTAATCATCTTTTTGTCTACACAAACACATACGTCGACACTTATATATGGACTATATATTCAATGTATTTTTAGTAATCCTTCTTTAACAGTGTTTTGTACCAAAGGACTGAAATGTTTTTCTTTATTTCAAGTTCTATAATCGAATGAAAAGAAACAGAATTTTATACACAATTTCCTGCTTCAAAAGAAATACATGTGTTACAGACGAAAATTTTAAGATTCTTTCACGAATCTACTTAGCCTGTGTTAGAAATCGAAACGAATTTAAGATTCTGTTTATCGGATAACTTAGACACTTTTGCAAACATTTCGGAAAATGATATTTGATGGAACTAATATAAAATTTAAATTGGCGAAATTTTATTCCATATTGCTGTCTTTGGTGACGTCACAAGGCAACTGACGCCTTGAAATTATGACGTCACAATTGACAAATTTTGTACCTTCACTTTAGCAAATCACAACTCCGCTAACAAAACCGTACTTCATATGAAATAAAGTCTTATCTCTCTCGTGCTTATATAGATTTTTGATAAAGTTTTACAAAAAATAGCCATTGACTTTATAAAGAGAATGTTACTTACCAAACAGTAAAGCTAAAACATCGCTTAGCGCCAAACTCGCCAGGTAGTAGTTAGTTACAGTGTGCATGTAGATATTTTTATAGATCACAATAAAAGTACACAGATTTCCGGCAATTCCTGTCAAAAATATCGTAATATACACGGCTGTCAAAACTCCAACAGTAGTCAAACCCTGTGTCTTATTTCCAAGATTAAGAATTATAAACTGCTCCAAATCAAAGTCGCCTTCTATCACTACGGTTGTGTTCGTCGCAAGAGACGTGCTCTCTATCCTTGTGTTGTTAAAGTTATCCCCAGAACGGATCCCTGAATGAGTCGTGCCATTGGACATGTTACTTAAAATTGAAGAATCTTTGAACACATGTTTTGATTGTCGAGTGCTCGATTCATAAGTCTATTTATAGAACAAAGTGATCACCTTGTCCTGATTTTTGTGAAGTCCATGGCGTTGTGAACACAAGCAAAAACAAATTCATTATTAGCCTCTGGTATGACACTTGCTGAGCGAAATGACTTTTGTAAATGCCACCTGAAATGTTTTACACGTGAAATCTTCGTCGAAAAAACGAGAAAAAATTAACTCATATCTTCACAAACAAACTACTATTTCTCAAACCAGTGTCTATTCAAATAATATCACAATTTCAATATTAACTAAGAAAAATGGTTCCTTCAGTATATCCCATTATTCTGTCTCGATTGCAAAATCTAAGCAAATTACTCGCACAGTGTAAGTATCGTCCGCTTTTTTCTTTAGTATTTAAAAGAGTACCCGACCAGTTTGAGTACCGCCCACGGAAGAATAAATGCCGCCTTGTACTGATAGCCTAATTGCAGCACCTCTACCACACTGCAGCAAAGTGTTTGTAAGTATCCGGAGTCTCACTCACTATCTCCTAACACCTCACTCGGAGAGTTCACAATGAGCGAACAAGACATGGCGATAACTGATCAATGTTACAATTCGCTTCGATCCTTTGTGAGGTATCCATACTTCTCCGGCCGGTACAACCATTTAAGTACAAATGACACTTTTCCTTGGAGTGTCTGGGCACATGGCACCATCACTACATATGTAGCAGTGACAAAAATACTCAACGCTAATTGGTTTTCCCATTCATCTCCCATTCATCCAGCGAGTGTTTACGGTTCACTGGGCTTGCCTTACCGGGACATATGAATATATACACACGCAGTTATATGTGAATGTGTAATGATCATTTTTTTAGTAATGAATTGAAATTAAATCACATTTACAGACGTGTATCATTTTGATGTACGTTCATTATACACATACACATATACATATAAACATACGAGCTGAGGTTTATTCGCAAATGAACAGGCGATGTAGTTGTCTTGGCTGTTTTATACCATTACAGTTCTTAGAGACTATTGATGGGTTTTAGAATGACCTTAAAACGTTTCCGGTTTTTGGATTTCCGGTTCTTTGGAATCACACAGGATTCTATGAAATATCTACAATTGACGTTACCGTGACAACAAAGCCGAGGAGAATATGAACGTGTCAGTTAATTCGTTGGTATCTAAGATGCCTCGGCCACGTTTATTCAGTAATTACAATTACAGAACTCCGTCTAACACAAATTGAGAATAAAATAACCAGGGCTGTCTTCTGTATTCACGTGACGCCAACATCACGCCCACGTGACACCCATGTGACGACTAAGTCAAAGTGAAACGTGGAATTAGCGTAAGCTACCGCCGTCTGGCGGAATCTTAAACCAAAAAAAAAAAAAAAAAAACCGATTCCTTTTAGTCTGATAGTTAAAGTACAAACATTTATTTTTGAGATATCTTATTCATAATGCCTCGTTTTCAGATTACACCATGTTCATAATTGCAACGATTTTGATTAATTTATTGTATGGTTGTAAGGTGTTTCATATTTTAAAACCAAACCGTGACAGCTTAATTATAATTGCATCGACATAATACCAGCAGCTATGGCTCCTTAGTGAATAAATTATATATGTAGCATGAAAAAAAATCAGCGAGGAAATAGTGATAGTGGATTAAGTCCTGAACAGGTTTTGAATGAAACGTGTCAAATACTGCCTTTAAGGACAAATATGTTAAGTTCAAGAAACCTTATCAACACAATGACTTGATTTAGACATACCATTAATACTATGTAAACCTCAGAAAAGTAATATTCCATTCCAATTCCAAATATTAAAAAGATATGACAAAAAACATTGCAATTGTAACTAAAATAAATGATAATAATTAGGAAAATGCTGCCAAATTTAACTGACCATTTCAAAACACTACAAAATTGTGTATTGAAATAACACCTCCCACCAACCACGTAGTTAATGTTAAAAAAACCCATAAAACCTTTCAAAAGTACAAATCTCCAATCACAACGGCCGTGGTGAAATCCATTGATAGTTACAAAAATAAAATAAATCTCCAGCTGGACTCAGTTAGAAACACTTTCTACGAGTCAAAAAAGTTTTCTTCTAACAGTTGCCTTCAATTTGAACATAAGTACGGCGTGCTTTCGCCTTAAACACGTACTTGTGAAACAAGTGACACTATTTCTTTTATATATTGGTTTACAATCAAGTGTATGTTACTTGCCTTTTGATCTAATTATCTTATGTTTGCAGTTTATTCTGTCAGTGGAGAACCAAGTGCTTAAAGGTAAACCTGTTTTAACTGTGTTGGAAGAATTATTATGATAAATCCTTAACAAAGGCGAAAACCCTTATGATTTTTCAGTGTGTGTGTGAAAATGGTATGTTTTCGCCTTCAACATCTAATAGACACGAACAGACTTTCGTATCGGCCCGAAAAACGAGAAATATATATAAACCCGCTGTATCCTTTGGGTTCATAAGAGAACAAACACAACGATATCAGCGTTTGCTCAGAAATATGCTCACGTGTCAGGTACACTTAGGTCAGTTACCGCAATTGATCTTGATAAACCTGACAGATCAGTCGTGATCATACATCGTGTGTTTCTGGTCAAGTTGTAGGAATCCCTGTCTACAAAAAGCGTTGATGTAGATGATTTTTGCAGATTACAACAGTGCAATCATATCGGCAATGTTCTAGAGTGATATACGGCTGGTTCAATTATGGCCTGTCATTGTTGAGAAGATATATAGATATGTAGATAATGATTTGTACACGTGAGCTATTGCTATAGAAATACAATCGACATTTCACTAATGTGCAAATTAAACAAACTCGAATGGATTTTGATAGTTTCCCTGACAATGTTGACGAAACATAATTAACATTAATTTGATGGTTCATGTTTTTGAGAGTTTTAATTCTCGCAATTTTAAAGGAGGTATTAAAAAAGAAAATAAAAATGGGGGGTGGGAGCTTCAAAATAACATTCCTTATGCATTCCAGTCTAGTTTTTGTTTAAACAGCGAAAAAAAAATAATAATAATAATCCACAAGAAATAAAACCTTACATCATACTTATATTTACTGGCTTTGAGGTACGTCGTTTAATCGTCCATATATCTAAAACGGAATGCTGTTCTTTAGAATATTTCTAAAAATCTGATTTATTGCGTTCCGGAATCATCTCGATTGGGTACGATTTGACTTTATAGATTGTTACGGTAAATATCGATTTTGATAAACTCTGGGTTTACCATAAACCAAATATGGTGTTACGTGTTAGTCTCTGCACGTGGCGTCGTTTTAGATGACAATCACATATCTAAGAAAAAGGGGTTGTTGGACTACATGAACTGTAATATTGTTTAGAAACCTATCATCTGTGACTTTCGGTGCGAATTACTGTGACACCGTTCGGAAATGCGGCACCGTACGGAAGTGTGACACGGTATCAGGAATAACATTTCTGTGCAAGCGGAAATGATGCTTCTCGGGAGCTGTCGATGTACAGAGAGTAACCGAAGATCGATAACATGCATGGCTATTGTTTCCGGTATATATGCCGTTGTGTACTACAGATTTTAATCTAGACATGTTTTCGCTGTCTACTACACTGAGATAAAAGATTATCCCCAGTAATAAATTGTAATGATCTGTACTGGTCAGTTTTTATCGACCAACTTTAATCCGGAATTCGACCGCAGGACCTAAAGGCGGAGGTTATAGTAAAGCACGTGCCTGGTTAGACAAGATATGGATGTAGCTGTCATTTTTATTGCTCGATAAAGGACCGTATAATTTGTACATAGACGATTTGTACTGAAACTATCTTAAACATCGTCTGCAAACACGTTTATCATTGCGTTTGTCGACACCACGTATTTTCACCATAGCGCATGCGTGAACCATGCAGTGTCCGGTATATCGGTATCCAACGTAAATGTAATCTAGCTCATCCAGCCGCTTTATATCTTTTGGCGTAACGTATGACAACAAGAGCCTTGTTGAACGAGATTACAGTGCATCCAACAGTAACGCTCGAGAATAAACAGAACATAACATGAACTATAATTTATAAATGATATTGTTCAAAACCTCACACGTCCGTAGATAACCTTGGCTGTTAACAGGACGTAAAACAGTAAACTAAACAAATTTTGGTGAAAACTTGCGTACACGATTTTATTAACATTAAGGGAAATATGCGATTACCACAAACATAATAAGGCGCAGTATAATCAGTAAGCAGTATAGTAATCGGTGGATTATATAGGTCTTTTATCTAATCCATTTATCCATCGTATGGTCTATGCATTTGATACTGTAAAAAGAATTCCTTTATCGGGTTTTATTTGCGTTTATTTCGTGAGTAAATCTAATGTCCGCGATATTGTAAACAAGTTTTTTTTAAGTATCACTGATTTCGGGAGCAGTATCCCTGAATAAAATAAATGGTTAAAAACAAAAACAAAACCACGAAAACCCACGAAATCTAAGTCTCACAAAGACATAAAATTTTACAGTATATTTCTATTTTTCCTGTCAGATTCAAAGCATTATTTACACAATGGACAACATGTCGGATACGGCAACAGGAATAATGCGTGTTATCAGACAGTCGTAAAAAGTACATCCGACCTGACCTCTTTTTAAAGCCTGCTCTCCTGCCTAAAGCCATACAAACTGGCGATTGCGCACTGCAATTTTCCGAAAGAACTATTGTAAGAAGCTTTTCTCAATTAGACACATGTTTCTTATCAATTTAAACTTATTTTACAATATGTAATTCGTTTTCGTCAAGCCTCTATGTTTATCTTCTTTGCTGTGTTCACTTGGTGGATACTTATCGTGTCATCGACATTGTTCAAATATTTCCATTCCGTTGAGCGTTATGAACTAGTCCCACTCGTGTGTGTGTATATATAGGGCATTATGATTTCT